ACCAGCCGAGGCATTAAATCTGTTTTTCTGCCATATAAAACATATAATTTTTTCTCCGAATGTTCAAATTCACACATGGATAGCTTTTTTATATTTATTTCATTCATTATTATTATCCAAATAATTAAATTATTTTGACAATTGTCATTGTCACCATCAATTTCAAATACCAAATTGAGTGAAATTATTACCTGGAACGTTATGACACTGTCACTTTTAATGCCTAGGCAGTAAAAGTCCACTTTTACTGCCTAGGCATTAAAAATACAACTTTTGATCCTGTCAAGTGTCAATAAAAGTCCGCTTTTACTGTCATTCGGAGAAAATAGTATATTGTTGTATTAGGAGTACAAGCTTTACTTGCTGAAGCAGTAGGTTTGCGAGCCGAACGTAGTGAGGCTTGCAATACTGCTGAAGCACAAAAAAGTGCTTCTACTCCGTATGCAACACGCTATTTTTTCTCCAAGCGAATGGAGTAAGCTCGGGGGTAACTGGATGGTTAAGCGACAGTAAAAGTACGAGCGGCACTAAAAGTACTTTTGCTGCCGCTCCAGCGGCACTAAAAGTACTTCTACTGCCGGTGCGGTTGCCTTGCAGCATAGAAATTAAATCTGTACCACCTCGACAGGTGCTACCCTGCTGGATTTGCCTAGAAATTAAGTTTCTGACACCGTGACAGGCGTTAACAAAGTGACGTTTTTTTGACGTTTGAAGAAAGAAGTATATATTTATCATAAACATCAACAACAACCTAATAAATTCATTCCTCAAAGTAACATATATCTAAATCTATCGCCCTATGAACGTCAACCTCGAACTGCACTGCAATTCTTTTTCCTCCATTATCAGTAGAGCTAATTGATATACATCTTCATCACAATCACAGTCGTTATCGGCAAATACACACTCTCATTACATGCTTGAATGTCTTCATTTGAAGCTTCACATAAGTAATCTTCTGCATCATAACCTTCGGGCATATGGTACAACATAAATGGTCGGCCTCTGCAGTGGCGCAGCCAGGGGGCCCGCCCCCTCCCCCCCCCCCCAAGGCTTCAGAGAAAACCAGAAAAATAATGAAGTAGACGAAAGCTGAAAACTGTTCATATCAGAGAGAAATTTGAAAAAAAGTGGATCTGTGTTTTTTCTTATATTTTTTTCTGCATGCCCCCCCCCCAGACAAAATTTCTGGCTGCGCCACTGTCGCTTATAAATATGTTATGCAAGACTCCCAGGACAGCTCTCAGTTCGTATTGTTGCAGTCCAAGCAAAAAATAAAACTTGATTAAATTTTTAAGTTTGGTGCTTTGTCTTGTCATTTTTCTACACTTCCATTTTGTACTGCACGTAAAATTAATCGCCAAACTCCGGGCGCTCGCTAACTGCACAACTTGATACTAATACTTTTCATTCAGAGTCAGAGTAAGTAGCTAATATAGTCCTAATTTCTAGTTGAAAAGTGGAATTTCCAGTTTAAAAGTGGAATTTCCAGTTTAAAAGTGGAATTTCCAGTTTATAAGTAGAATTTCCAGTTAAAAAGAAAATCCGTTTTAAAAGGGAAATTTCCAGTTTAAAAGTAGAATTTCCAGTTTGAAAGTAGAATTTCCGGTTTAAAAGTGGAAATAAATCAAAAATTTTCACAATGGCCTTTCTACGCCGTCGAACTACAACGAAAGTGGTGAAATTGTATGATACAATGGCACAAAAAGCTAGGTAGGTACACAGATCCTCAATTTTTTTTCGCTAGTCAATGAAAAATAAGTCAACACGTGTTTTTTCTTTTTCTTGTTAGTCAAAAATTGACGGAGATACAACGCTTTGAAATGTGCTTATGACGACATCACTTATAATACGTTATGACGTCGCACATGCACAGTATATCTATATATACAAAACTTATTATTTTTATAACTTTCGGAATAATCGGACAATTTGGACAAAATAAAAAAACACCCATCGCTTTGTTTTCGATTTCCTACAGTTCGCAATAAACAATAATCAATTTTATTTACGACCAGTGGCGGATCCAGGGGGGGGCGCGCGCCCCCCCCCTAAGAGCCTCAAAAACTGCTATTTTTTTTTTTAAATCATAGAAAAATTTTATAAAAGAATTTTCCAATAAAAGTTCATGGAAAAAATTTCCAATAAAATGTTATTGGAAAATTTTCCAAGCTACACTATTGTTCATTTCATATTGTTTTGTTTTTATCAGATAAATGTGTTATATTTTTATTTGGAATAGGTATTTTCATTTGTTATTTTCGGTTTTTTGATATGTGCAGGGTTGTCCAATTTGGACACTTTTGATAGAAAACATCAAGTTGTCAGAGATAGACCTATTAAACCTTATAGACTGTGAGATAGGGGCTGTTTTGTGGAGTCATTTTTTTTTGTCTGGCATTTTGAGGACTGAATGTGGCTACTAAGCTGATGAGAATATGGGTGATTTTAATGCCTGCCTCCCGTTGGAAAATTTGCAGAAGAAAAAAATTGATTTACATGAAAATTTTTTTTTAATGATCTCAAATTATCTGGCTTTTAAATAAAAGATTGACATTGATAAATAATTCACCCATGAAAAATACCAGATGCTTTTCAATAGCTGAAAAAGTGGGGATGGGTGTCAAATTCCAAGAGAAAAGAAAAGAACCTTCCGCGTTTTCTTTTTGTCTGGCAATCGAGAGAATAAAAGGTTTTGTTGTGAATATAACGCTGAAAAATCGCCAGACAGTAATCACAGTTCGAAATCGAGTTTTCCTGCGTAACATTCTGTGGACATTTCGAACAGGGGGCAGGCATTAAAACTACTTATATTCTCATCAGCTAACTAGCCACATTCATCCCTCAAAATGCAAGACAAAAAAAAATGACTCCACTAAACAGGCCCTATCTCAGGGACAGGGTCTAGGTTTCACTTTATTACTCAAAATCGAGAAACATCCTCTAGCGGCAAAACGGTTGAGGGTATCAAAAGGCGGTTTGCAGTGTTTGCACCAATCAAGATTTCATGAAATTTCAGCGTCAGCAGAGTGGGAGGTTCATTTTTTGTATCTGGCTCAGAAATTGACGTTTCGTATCGAAAGTGTCCAAATTGGACCACCATGTACAGGGGGAGTCACTATATTTTGACACCTACCTGCAGCCTTAATTACAGGTGATAGGTGAAAGGTGTAAAAACAAAAGTTGTAGCATTTTATGTGAACCAACAGAATTTTTAATTAAATTGAAAAAATCAGCAACACAAAATGAAAAAATATGTCTATGGTCACTTTTTTCAAATGGAATGCACTTTATTTTTTTCCAAATTCTCAAAGTTCTCGTTTTTCTGATTCAGATTATATGATGTATTAATGTTTCTGTCCTTGAATAGCTAAACTCCAGACATCTCCAAAGCTATTGAAAGAGACATTTACGTATCATATAATCTGAATCTGAAAACCGAGAACTAAAAAAGTTAACATCGACATATTTTTTTACTTTGCATTGCTCATTTGTTCAATCTAATTAAAAATTCTGGCGGTTCAGATAAAATGCTACAACTTTTGTATTAAGGTACACCTTTTACCTATCACCTGTAATTACGGCTGCAGATGGGTGTCAGGGAGACTCACCCTGTACCTACATTCTCTAAAGTATAAATAAATAAAAATAAATTTTCAAGAAATCATTGTTGATAATTATAAGCCTGCGCCCCCCCCTGAAGAAAATCCGGGATCCGCCACTGTTTACGACTGACATATAATGTAAGTATTACATATGTGATTTTGGCAGTATAATGCCATATATTATTCCCGCAGGGATTAATGGTCATTATTCCCGCTTGAACACCAATCACAAAATTTCTCAAATTAAATAAGTAGGTAGTAGGTACCATGGAAACAATATACCTGAACAAACTTAAAAGTGTCAGTGTCAAACGCGTAGTGCTTGTGTATTTCATGTATTTGTATTGAGATGGATGAACAAAGAGCGTTTTGGAAAGAAAATTTCAAATAAATTAACTTGTCGTGAATAAAGTAGAGTATACTACTCGCAATAATGGCTATTATTCCCTCGGAATGTTACTCCCTCATCTACTATAATTTTTCATGCAAGTACCCTATTACATTGGATGACGCGTTCCGAAGTTATCAATTGGGTAAAACGTCGTGGGACACCCTGTATAAATATACTCAAAGCATTTTAAGCGCTCGGAGCAGGTGCGGAACTGATTGAACTCGGAGCAAAAAGTGTCGCACTAGTTTTCCAATGGCGTCCAAAAACTAGCTGTTTTCTCGCCTTCACTTTTTGAAAACTATAACAAAAGTTTCGCGATGAATGTAGTTCATCCAAGGACGAACCATACACAGATTTTTCGCGACGAATGTAGTTCATCCGAGGACGAATCATAGTTCCTTTTGTGACGGCATGAGTTTGAACGCTGGCTAGAAGCTGCGTCCGTGCTCAGTGAACTACGTTCAATATGACGTCATGAGTTTCTCGCGAAAGCGTTTGTGTTCATGAAATCGTGGAAGTAGTTCATCGCGAAACGTTTTGAAATATATTCCAATCCACATTTTAAAACCATTTTCTCGCGCCGAAAAGTTATGACGTCATTGTGAAACTGTTTTAAAACAGTTTTGAAAAATGCTTCAAAACTTTGAGACGCCCTCGGAACACTCCCGCAGATATCTGTGACGTCACCGACCACGCGACCAGACGGGGAGTGCTCTGCTGGGAGTAGTAAAATCGAAAACGCTACAATATGCTCTCTTGAGATTCATTCGGAGCTGCTCTCCAGTATGCACATTGGCGCGCTCTAGAGCACCCCGGGAGCGCCACGCACTAGATTAGAACCGTTCCAGTATAATGACGTGTGACGTTTGTCCGTACGTATAGCTCAACGCTCCGAGTAGCTCTGAGCATCACACTCCCATACTGGAAAGCGGCTCGGAGTTTAGCGCACTCCTCGCACTAGTTTTACCAGAAAAAATCGTTACCTCAAATGAAACGCAAATGTCATACGTAATGTTCGATGAAATGATGAAAGTAAATAAATCAATCACTTTAAATAAAATAGTTGAAATTTTTATACATTCAATTCAATAATAATTATAGCTTTATTTGCTACTACTCACTTACTGTAGTAGTTTAATGCAATATAAAACATTTCAGCCAGCATGTCTAGGCTGCAAATGAATGCCAGCGAAATACCAGGTAAATTCTTGCATAAGAATAAAAAAATCAATAATAATTGTTTATTATTTTATTATTCATTGGATTATATCGAGGATTATATTATGAGTCCATCGATCCAAAATTGGCAAGTGAAAAAGCATCCTCTGAGCTCTGGCTTCTGAGTCAAAAAGATTCTAAGCTCTTCAACTTTATAATATTGTTTCTTTGTTTAGGAAATCATGCCTTCAACTTGGATTCGAGAGATTCTGTCAATGAAGATTACATAGACGAAAGTCCAGATAGAAGAAGAATGAATAGCCGCGAAAGAGATGGTTCTCTAACTGATTCAAATTCGGGTATGGCAACTGGTTTAGAAGTTAACGGAGATCCTAATAATGTTTTCATGATGGGTCAAATGGACAATGTAATGATGAACATGTTTGTTAACCCTGGAATGATGAGCATGAGTAATTATATTGTTCCGCCAATGATGACTCCTAATCCCAACATGATGCCTACAAGTGAAGAGACTTATGCAGTAGCCTTAAACCCCTTAAAAGAAATAGTTCACTTCAAATCTTGCACTTTATTTCCGCCTAGTCCTCACTCACCAGCACCTACTACTAGGGATAGACCTCCAGGGTGTAAAACCGTATTTGTTGGGGGTTTACCTGAAAAAATAACCGAGGAAATTATACATGAGGTTTTTGAGAGGTAGTTATAGTTGGTATATTATATTCGTTTTTGTATTAAGTATTCTTTCAATTATTAGATGTGGAGAAATAACAACTTTGAGGCTGAGCAAAAAAAACTTCTGTCATGTACGGTTTGTTTTTGAAGCATCAGTGGATGCTGCAATTTATTTGTCTGGCTATAGAATTAGGATTGGATCAAATGTCGATCCAGGATATACTGGAAGATTACATGTAGATTATGCACAGGTAAAAACATACCTACATAAAACATTTTGGTTAATATGTTTTATTTAGGCAAGAGATGATCAATATGAATGGGAATGCAGGCAAAGACAATTGGAAAGAGAAAGAAGGCACAGAGAGAGGATGGAGGAGGAAAGATTAAAAAGACCTTCTCCTCCTCCTGTTACTCATTATTCCGATCATGAAGCTGGTAATATTGCCGAGAAAATTAAACATGATGAGTCTTTTACCAAAGCTTTACAGGTAAAAAACTTGTCTTGTTGAACTCATAGACTTACAAAAAAAGAGTTTGTTTTAAGGTGGTCATTACATGGCTAGACAGGGGCGACTGTACCAAGAAAAACGTAAATACTTTTTACTCTATGATCCAATCAACAAACTCACATGTAAGAAGATTGCTAACAGAAAAAGGCCATTATGAAGATGAATTGAAGAAGGCTAAAGATTTGCTTAAAGGCAGAATGCAAGGGATTCTTCTACAATGTAAGTGGGCTCTTTTTTTGTGTGGAAGTTTTTTCAATGTGAGCCATTTTTCCCTAAGAATTTTAATCTTATGAAAAATGCTCAGTAAATGTCGGTTAGCCAATTCAAGTGTATTCAGATGTATTTTCGTTTCATAAACAAAAATACCTAACTGTAGGAAAACATGATTTACTTAGTTGTTATGCTCTCCCTTTGAAAAAATTACAATGGTAAGAAATTCTTGATAATTCTTCACAAATTCCAATACATTAAATTAAGTATTAATATTAAAAATATCTCGATGACTCTTTGTTATGCCAAGTATGGTAAGTAAGGAAGGTCAGTAGTTCTCTTTTATCCATGCCATGAATTCAAAGCTACCAAAAATACAACAGACTATTCAGGTGAAATTTGAGCTGCTTCAACAATTATACATACATACATTAAGGCTGCTAAAATTATATTAAAATAATTACTTTAGGAAATAAGGTGAGTTCATATTGTAGAAGAGTGCATACTCACAAATCAATAAAAAAAAATATTTTCTGGTATTTTTGTTTATGTTTCAAAGGATATTTTACAACCGTTTTTTGGTAAAAACTGTACCCATATTCATTATAAATTTTAAAACATGTACAGTTTTTATTGATTGTCTGTATAATACATATAATCTATGATTCAAATATTTGGGTGGCCCTATTAGTCAGTCACATTGAGCGATTGTTCGAGGCGGCGCATCATAAGAAGGTTTGGGACCATTTCACTAAAGCCCAGAGAAAGAACATTGAAGCATGGAAAAAACAATCGTTGGTATGTACTCTCCCTTGGACTTTCGACCGAATCAATCAATATAAACCAAATGCTTTATTTGATTTTTTATAATTAAAATTTTCAAGTTTGATTAGTGTTGATTGATTTTTATTTAAATCTGATACAAGGTGACGTCTATATTGAAATGTCCAAGGTTTTAGCATGTTTTTTTTATATTTAGATATTTTTTTATTAGTTCATTTTATGTATTTCTAAATTACATAAGAGCCTTATACAGATTAGATCCTCTCAGAAATTTTTCAGTTTTATTGTTTACCAAATTTTTGCCAATTGAGTATAAAATATTTCTAACAAAATTGGTAGTACCTGTCCCAAAAAGCTATCCTTGATTAGAAAAATACTCTCCAAATTGTCCATTTTCTCTGTAGGTAGGTACCAGATCTGCAAACAAAACTAGAATATGCATTCCTATAGGCTGTTATATACTTTGGCAAAAATTTTTGACAAACAATATCTATTCATAAACTTACCATTTATTACATAATAAAAAAAAAATCTGCATATTTACAAGGTTAAAAAATAATAAAGGTAAGCTTCAGGCAGGTAAGTTAAAAAGTCAAGCCGAGTAAGTCAGTCAACAATCTCTTTGTAGTGGTACAATAAAAATGGTATTAACGGGGGTTAAGAAAAATACACACAGAAAGTTATAGTGGGTAAGATTAGGGTAAGACCTATCTATATTTACAGCAGGAGTTTTACAAAATTTTGTATGAATTACTGATAAAAGTTTCTCATCAATCCAATATGCACAATTTGGCAATTATTATCAAGCAGGATCTTGCTTTTGATTTTATATGTCCGTTTTTCAATTTAACACATTATGGTTGCATCAAGTTTTATTTGTATTTGTGAAATTCAATAATTTTGCAGGAAATAAAAAATTTCCAACTAGAAGATTTACAAGAAAAGCAGAAGGACGATGATGAAATGGATGTGTCAGATGATGATGAGCCTGTCAGGAAAAAAGCTCGAGAAATGTCCAATGAGGAACGCAATAATTTGAAAGATGAAAATGATAGTTTAAAATGTCAAGTGGAAGCTTACAAAAATGAAGTGAGAATATTTTTATAGCAATAGGTTTTTGTTAAGGTTAATCAACTCCGCGCCTATGATATTTTGTCAATCTGTCCAAATGTACAACTTTCATTTTACTCCTGGTGTTGCGCTGAACTTGATAAACCAAATCATTGATCCTCTTGATTATTCTGTAGGGACTTTTTCATGCTGGAGACAATTTCAGCGACACTTCTTTCTTTCTTGTTGGATTAAGCCACACTAAATCACCTTCTTGAAATCCAGCTGAATTGGCTTTCAATTCGTATCTGGTCTTCATTCAGTCACTGGCCAGCTGAATATGCTCCCAAGCTAAATCATGTATTCCCATAATCTCGAATTTATTTTCGTTCTTCTTCAGGTATTCCAAACATCAGATCGCAAGGTAACCTGAGTTCCCTTCCAAAAACTTTCACCAGTTGACTCGTGAACAGCTTCTCTGTAAGCCTTTAAAAATAGACGCAAGTGTTTGTCCCAATCTTGCTGGTTCTTTGTGACCACTTTTGTCAGGTGTTGTCCTTGTCTTACGAATGCCCATGATCTCACAAATTTTCTTAAAGATGGCAGATTCGAAGTTTCGTCCCTGATCTGAATGCAACTCTAGTGGCCCACCATGATGACTGAAAACTTCATTTACAAGCACCTGATGACCTTGTACAGGGTGGTCCAAATTGGACACTTTCTTATGGAAACACCCTTTATTTTTAGAGATAGAAAAAAATGAACCCCCCACTCTGAGGCTCAAATTTTATGAAATTTTGATTGGTGCAAACCGCATTTTGATATCTTCAACCGTTTAGCCGCTAGAGGGCGATTCTCGATTTTGAGCAATACTGTGAAACCTTCATAACTTTTTTGTTTATGAAAATAATTGATTTCCGTAAAGACTTTCTAAGAGCACTTTTTTAAGAGGAATTCAGTGACGTTCTCAGTTTTTTTCTAGTTGACTCGGATTTCGAGATATTGACCAAAATCCGATTTTTTTCAATAGAACACCCTATATATTAATAGTTTATTGGAAAGCTCTGCGTTTGCTGATTTCAATGATATAAAGTTCAATAGGTTTATCCCTAACAGTTTTTGAGAAAAAAAAAAAATCTGTTTTTGTCATAAGAAACAATGTGTTAGAAAGAGACCTTTCTCGTTTTCCTTACAGATATAAAGTCCTTTTCCAACACATTGTGTCTTATGACAAAAATCAAAATAATTTTTTTCTCGGAAACCGTTGGAGATAAACCTATCGAATTTTATAGAATTGAAATCAGCAAAAGCAAAGCTTTTCAATGAGCTATTAATATATAGGATGTCCTATTGAAAAAAATCGGATTTTTGTCAATATCTCGGAATCGGAGCCAAATAGAAAAAAGCTGTGAACGTCACTGAATTCCACTTAAAAAAGTGCTTCCAGAAAGTCTTCACAGAAATGAATTATTTTCATAAATAAAAAAGTTATGAAGGTTTCACAGTATTGCTCAAAATCGAGAATCGCCCTCTAGCGGCTAAACGGTTGAAGATATCAAAATGCGGTTTGCACCAATCAAAATTTCATGAAATTTGAGCCTCAGAGTGGGGGGTTCATTTTTTTCTATCTCTAAAAATAAAGGGTGTTTCCATAAGAAAGTGTCCAAATTGGCCCACCCTGTACATACAGGGTTTTCCCGTATATTTTTGCACCCCACCTACAGCCTTTACCTTCACAAGTAGATGATAGGTGTAAATACAAAAGTTGTGCAATTTTAGGTAAATTTTTAAAATCCATTGTCAGAAACAAAAATTTATTTTCAGAAATTTGAAATTTTGCGTACTTCCAACTTTTTTCAAATGAAATGCCCTATATTTGATTATATATTCTTGAAGAGCAAAATTTTCCAATTCCAAAAATATATACATAGTTTATATTTGGTTGAGCCATCTCCAAGATATTTGGCTCTAAAATTTTTTAAAATACCAAGTGCCTTAAATTTTACCTGCAGCTGTCACCTTGACAGGTAGAATGGTTCACAAAATGTAAGGCAGTAGGATTGTATTTTTACAATTTTTAAAGCCAAATATGTTGGAGACGGCTTAACCGAATATAGAGAAACTATACAGGGTGTGATACCACTATTGCTATATCCGAAACGGTAAGAGCTACAAGGTCGGTTAAATTGGAAAAAAAGTTGCCTTTTTTGATGCCCATTTAAGATTCTTCTACAGTGTTGCCAAATTCCTTTTAGTTTCTGAAATACAGGTTCATAACTAGGTCCGAATTAAGGTAAAATTTTGGTAAAAATCACTGATGATCACTTTTTAGATCCGAAACGTCGCCTAATCATACTTAAAAGGTATATCGTTGAAAAGGGTGCTTTCTGAAAATGACATAAAAAATTCAGGTCCGTATTTAAAAATATGAAGTTGATGATGGTAACTCAATCACGAAACGTCGGATTCGAAATTTGACGATGCCATGTTGTAGAGCGAAAAAAATTATAAAACTTTCGAATTTGAATTGTGTTCCGAAAATTAATAGTTCTCGAAATAATTGATGAAATATTTTTAGGCATTTCTTAGAAATCACCCTGTATTTCATAAACTAGACGGAATTTGGCAACACTGTGAACGAGTCTTGAATTGGCATCAAAAAAGGCAACTTTTCTCTAATTTAACCGGCCTTGTAGCTTTCACCGTTTCGGATATAGCAATAGTGGTATTGCTTAAAATGTACACCCTGTATATTTTTGGAATTGGAAAATTGTGCTCTTCAAGAATATAGAATCAAATATAGGGGATTCCGTTTGAAAAAAGTTGAAAGTATGAAAAATTTCAAATTTCTGAAAATAAATTTTTGTTTCTGACAATGGATTCTAAAAATTTACCTAAAAGTGCACAATTTTTATATTCACACCTATCATCTACCTGCAAAGGTAAAGGCTGCAGGTGGGGTGCAAAAATATAAGAGAAAACCCTTTGTGTGAATGAATAGGTATGTTCGCGCAGAAATTAGAAACCAGTCAGAGTGAATTACATTGGTTGAAACTAGTTTTCTGACTGTTTTCAACCAATGAAATTCGCTCCGACTGGTTTGTGATAGCTGTGCGAACAGACCTAATACAATTTTCCCAGATTGGTTGTAGTATTTCATCAAATTCCACAAAATAGTTATTTATACACCAAGTGAGTTAAATGAATGTTTATTCATGAGAAGAAAGTTTAACCCACGAGCCCTAGCGCGTGGGTTAATTTTCTTCGAATGAATAAATATTTTAACTCACGTGATGTATACAAAATCTTATCCCATTTTGATGGACATTCAATTTAAATTAATAAGAATCAAATTATAAAAAGAATTCATTTTGTAGCACATGAACGCGTCTAAAATTGAAATTGGTGGTTGCTAGGGTATAACTAGTTGTTTGTTTGTATTTGTAGCAGATTCTATACTGGCAGAGTGACTTAAAAGACCGAGAGTGAGTTAAAAATATTTTTATGTCATACCAATACATTATTGTGTTTTTATATCTTAGATACCATCTATATAATTCATTACTTTATGCCCGTGCGGGCATAAAGTACACATTATGGCCCGCGCGGGCATAAAGACGCAAAAAACAGTTTTCAATTAACTTATTCTTTATTAACAAAATATAAATTTACGCTTATAAACATATTATTTTTGTCAAAAAATTATGATGTTTTCACACTGATGACAATTTGTGAAGTGACACTTTTTTCCCAGGTATTTATTATTCACAACCAACTGGTATGACATAAAAGTTTGTATGCACCACGGGTACTAATAGATATATACCCTCGGGCGACTTATGAACCCTCGGGCCAGATGCCCTCGGCTTTGTAAGACTGTCGCCCTCAGGGTATAATCATCTACTTAGTACCCTTGATACATAAATAACTATAAATCACTCAGGTGATAAACGTACTTACCTTTGTTATTATGCGTTCAATAATGTCATTTTTAAACGTCAAAATGGGATAATAAAAAAGATGCTTTACCTGTGAGTGGAAAATGTTGATTCACGAGCGACGAAGGAGCGAGTGGATTAATTCCACGAACAGGTAAAGCTTTTTTACCGTCGTGTGTAATATTCTATTTTATTCTTAAGCAACTTCTTATTTACCACAATTACTAAAATCATAAGCTAAAATGTGCTAAAGTTTGACATAGATTATGACAAGTTGATAAAGTACCTAACAAACTGACACATTTCTGGTGTTGTCAATCATGCAACATAAATGAGTGGGTGAAAATTGTTCGATTTCACTACTTCAAATAAAGTGGTACTTTAACAACGAGTTTTGAGTCGATTAAATGATAGTTTACCATTCGCGATAGAATAAAAAATATTATATTAAGTTACAGTAGAGTTCTACTTAAAAATATAGGAGTTCTTATGGAACAAACTTTCAAATTACGTATTTTGTTTTTCAGGTTGAAATTATTAAAATGGATATGAAACGAACTATTGAAAATAAAGACGAACAATTAAAATTAATGCAACAAACATTACAAGGCATGCAACAACAACTAATTGAAACCAAAAAAAAACATTCAGTCGCCGATCAACGAATTAAAATGTTGGAATCTCGTCTTAAAAAAAGCTCAAAAATCATGGAAATTATTAATTTGGATGACGACGAAACTGAACAACCTCCCAGCAATGTTCTCACAGAGAAAAATAATCAACAAATACCAAATTCTGAAGCTAAACTGATAGGAATTATTTCAATATTCCTAAACGTTCATCCTTTTGGGGCTGGATTGGATTATATAGCATCTTATGTAAATAAATCCATATCAAATTTAAGATCTATGGATATAGAGGCCCTTATGTCCAGATATCCGACAGTATTTAAACAAGATGTAGTTGGTATTGGTGCCAGTATGGAGAGAAGATGGATTTTGACTGCTTTTGGAAAAACATTAAACAGTAGAATCCAGGATGATACTGTATAGAAGCAATTTTGTGTTGATAATAATAGAATGTTGTTTAGCAGAAAAGGCATTTTTTTTTTAGTGGAAAATAGAAATAACCGTTTTGACTAAACATGCACATAAAACAAGCATTTTTTTACCAGTTATATATAAGGTCCGTTTCACCAGGGTTCATACTTTTGACATCGAACACGCCATAACTTGGAAAAAAAGGGATGTCGTAGATTAATTCATATGACACATTCAATTTTTTTGACAAATTAAAATGAATGACTCCTGGTTTAAAAACCAACAAACGTTTTTGACGGCATTGATTTGTTTCAGTCAATTTCCATTTGTTAAAAAAGGAAGGCAAAAAGTATGAACTCTCGTGAAACAATGGCTACGTTCACCAGAACTGAAACAAGTTGTAAACAGTTCACAAATACCAACAGAATATGTTGGGCAAACTCTTGGTTCTGCTGAACGATTCAACTTTTCAATAATAGAACGTCACCCTCTGAATGTCATGTCACCACACAAAACACTAGTGTTGAAAATTATAAACACTTAATTTATGCTTGCAAAAATGGCGACCGTTTGCAAAACATGTTTGGTTTCAACACAAATTCAACGTAGCGTTCAGCAGAACAATCGCAATGCGTTTACCAACGTTTCTATCTGGTGAACGTGGCCAATGTTTAGGTAATGTAGTTTGAAGATTTTCATTTGGAATTCATGACATAGATTGCATGGTTATCTAAAGTTTCAATGAACAGCAATGTCATCCTTGAAACATAATTAAATTACCAACAAAAATACTAAATGGATTTTAAGGATAAAAAAATAAAATATACACAATCTTTAGGATATTTAATAAAAAATAATTAATACAAAAAAATCACAAACTTTTTAAGGCACACCAAAAAAATAAATAACCTAATGGACGAGGACGATAAACAAAAATACAATAATTCTTGGCGAAATAAAGGGCCTACTGAGATACCAGAAAAAATGTACTCGTTAGCACTAGCTACCTTACAATGTATAAGTACCAAAATATTGGGAGGAATGTTAATAAATTAAAGAATTATGGCACAATTTTTGTTATGAATAATAAGTGGGTATTATTGAAATAGGCCATTGGGGCATTACAAAACATACAACAAACTTTTAATGTGAACAACTTTACATTAAGTAACTGATTTTATCCTAACAGAGCAACAATGCAGATATTGTTGAAAGGCACTTTTGTGTAACAGTTAGAAATAGTAGATAAATCTAAAGCTGGATTTATAGTGTCAGTATCAGTAACAGTAGCAGTAACAGTAACAGTAAAAAATTAAAACACGACCGACCATAAAGCCATTTATAGTTCACTTAACAAACTTATCAGTAAAACTTAAGAAATGGTTATTTTCATATCTGTTCTTGTTTTAAGTTACTGTTACTGATACTGACACTATAAATCCAGCCTTACTGTGTACAATTAACACTTTTATCATCCATACATTTTTCTGATTTTTTTGAGCCATTCAATACATTTGAATTATTAACATCATTTATATTATTTATCAAATTTAACATATCCAAATCTGCTTTATTGTTCTGCTCTTCAGATATGAAATCTTCCTCATATTCTGTCTCCATATCAAACATCTGATCCAGTTCTTTCAAGTTAGACATATTATTTTTCAAATCGTTTAGTTTTGATTTGTTTAAATTAAGTGGAGGCAGATCTGAGAGTGAACTTAAATTATTAGATTTTTTCGGCTTATTGATGGAGGGATTTTTGAAAGGCACATCTTGAACTTCACTATCTTCAGCTATAGAACTTGTATCCTCGTATGTATCATCTTCTATTATATTTAATAGTTGTGGTACAGGCACATTTTTAACTGTAGGAGCTTCTTCTTCAATAATTTTTAAATAATTTTCAGTTGTTGGGTTATTAAAAGCAAGTTTAGGACTATTAACGTCAAAAGTTGCATTGAATTGTTTGCTTTTCTCTTGTGATTCATTTGAGCTACTATAAACAGTTTCATCAGTCTTTTTATAGCTGCTATCTATAGCAGATTCATTCCTTAAGCTTTCATTATCAACATTTAAATTAATGTCTAATTTCGTTTGAGCAATTTTGAATAACTGTTGCAATAGAGGAACTTGTTCATTCTCACTGTTCAACCCCAAATTATCAGCAAGTTTTTTTCTGCCTTCATATTGGCCTACACTGTCTAAATATGATTCAGGTTCAAACACTGATAAGGTATATTGGAGGTTGAAAAATTCTAAAAATTCGTGTACCAGACAGAATATAGTACGTCCTTCAGCAGTTTGTAAGTAAGACCGGACTTTGTGATTTTGAAAAGGTTGCTGTTTGCTCAGCTAGAAAAGAAAACAAGTTTTATTACAATAATTATTACAAGTCAAATTTTTTACCTTTTCGTCTTCATCAAGGGCAAGAAATACGTTAGCCCTAAGCTCAGCCTAAAAAAAATGTATATAGTTAAATAGGCAGTTTCCACAACACAGCCAAAAATTCTCACTCTAAGTTTAGCCAAGCATCCGTTCTTCTCCAACGTTTGTGCCAACAAATCTCGCAACTCGACGTCTTCTTCTACCATCGACATCTTTATTTTTAACTAAATTATTAGTAGGACCCTTGAAAATTGAGGAAAGTGCTTGATTTTGTAAAATTTTGGGAATCCAGGAGGGTGTACTTGATTATAGAATTTATTACATTGTATTTCGTACAAGGCACACAAACGGGGCTTTTAATGGGGTCTCTACTCTAATAATGTAAAATAAAATTGAGGAAAGCACAAAAAGTATGTTTTCATTTACAACTTTACATTTTTCTCATTATTTTATTTTTTTTTGTACCTGACGTTGTCATCAGCGTCACCTCACTTGTCAGGTTGGTGTTGTCTATAATAGCGTTTTCTGTTGGTAAAACTCGTGCTGTCCGAGTTCTGCACTCAACACTGAATCAGTTCACGTTTAGTGCAATCCCAAAAGAACATGAATTTGGCGCGTTTTGTCATTCTTTTCAAATTTATTATTTAACGATCCCTGATCCCTAACCTAACCTAAAGATATTTTCAATGGAATAAAAATTAAAAACGTTTGTGTGTATGAAAAAGTTGAAAAGGGAAGTTTTTCCTGTATGTAAAGTACATAATTATGCTGTCTCCCGAGATGTGCAGAAATAATTCCAATGATACCTGCGTTGAAATTAATTTTGTCAATTTCAATAATAAAATTTTGAATTTTTGGTATCTCATTATCCCTGGCAAACATTCAGGCCTATGATGTATCCTGTCCTGTTATTTCAACGTCTATCTTAAGGCTCAACATCTATTTCTGTCTCTATTTTGACGTGTTAAAATAACAGAAAATGATACATCATAGGCCTGCGTTTGTAGATAATAATAATAGGTCTGTTTCTGCAGAAATCACAAACCAGTCAGAGTAAATTTAATTGGTTGAAAACAGTCAGAAACAGTCAGAAAACTAGTTTCAACCAATGAAATTCACTCTGACTGGTTTGTGATTTCTGCAGAAACAGACCTAATAATTCTTCCTCTTCATCGCTGTCGCTCGACGAAGATGAAAAATATAGAATTTTATCAATATCGATATCCATAATTTTTTGGTTTTGTTTATACTCAGACTTTTCGGCACTTTACGATAAAAACCCGCTTGGAAACTGCCAGCAGAACATATTTTTTGCATGAGTGCAGCACGAGTTTTACCAACAGAAAACGCTATAAGGGTTGGTGCATAACACCTTTTCACGTCGCTCCGGTTTAAACTAACCGGGTTATAAAACGGTTAGGGGCGGTACGTCAAGTGATGACATCACTGAAAATGCCACTTGAAAACGAACGGTTAGAAAAATGTTATTAGGCAATCCAAACCAGAGATGGGCATGCATCTACATCTACTACTGATCTCAAAAATAAATGGATAAACAAAGAACGCTTCTAATGCTGCTAATTTACGAGGACATAATCCGTGCGTTCGTTATTTTGGTCCGAGTTCTCCGAGCTTGACTTTACCGTTCGTTTATTTAAAAAGTGTACTCGGTGCAGCCTCATTCGCGTTCGTTTATTAAAATTTCTGGCACTTTTATACAGCGTTCAACTGCTCTGTTCGCTCACTGGTCACGTGATTACGGCTCCGCTCAGCACGCTCTGCTCTTTGAGCAAAATACCGAACGCAAGGATAGTAAACAAAAACAACTGACTGGGACAGCTGTGAGCGTGCGCAGTAGATACATCTACTGTGCGTGCTCAAAATCTGGCCAATGAAAATGAAGGAATTTCAAAATTTAGAACAGTTGTTCGAAAGATGAGACACTGCGCAGGCGTTAGGCTGTTCCACTGCACAACTATTCGTAGAATATTGACCCCAAATTTTCGCACAAATTTTGCCAATCAAGCCATATTATGATTGTTTATCCATTTAGTTTTTAAATCAGTGGCATCTACGCGTAAACAAAGATTGTCTACGTCTGGTGTAAACAACGCGTAGACAATGTAAACTATGTAATCTATGTAGACAACGTGTAAAATATGTTAGTCCCCAGTACATCGACCTTAAAATTTTGTAACTCATGTACACACCCAACTTCCGGAGCGGCTTCATAACACCAAGTCGGACAATATTTTTTATGTCTCCACCCCGGGCGATGGGACATTGCTGCGCTAGCTCTTCGTGAAGTTGTCGTTCTGACGTCCCTAAGGAAGTTGATACATGTACGTGTAGTTTCAATGCCAATCGACTGTTTTTTACTTTACATTAACGATACCACATTTGTCGGACAAAAACCATGTGGCTTTGGGGAAGGTCCGACACCCCCAACATGTCGCTGTGGCGTCCCTAAGGAAGTTGATACATGTACGTGTAGTTTTAATGCCAATCGACTGTTTTTTGTATTACATTAACGATATCATATATGTCGGACAAAAATCACTTGGCTTCGGGGGGGTCCGACGCTCTCAACATGTCGCTGTGGCGTCCCTAAGGAAGTTGATACATGTATGTCCGACAAAAATAATTATGAATAACAATGTAATTTTAAAATATGTATAGTAAATGTCGGACAAATAAAATAAGATAAGTATTAAAGTCAGTCGGACAACAAAAGTCCTTTTGATCAATTTCTGCCGAAATTCAGGATCTTCACTTCTGAGATTGCACAAAAAACACGACTGAATATCCATTCTTTCTCACACGCTTGGTTTTGAATGACCGTTCACTAAATAATTTCCGTTAATACTTGGAGAACTATCAAAAAAACAGATCAGGGAATATGACACAGGGCCCCACAGGTATTTGACAAAGTAGGTAAATAATAAACTGACTAATATGCACATTGCGTTAAGGCAAACTAATTTTAATTTTTTCATTGATTGTCTCAAATTTCTTGTCCGACAAATGTGATATCGTTAATGTAATGTGAAAAACTGTCGATTGGTATTAAAAACACACGTACATGTAGCAACTTCCTTAGGGACGCCACAGCGACATGTTGAGAGCGTCGGACCCCCCCGAAGCCAAGTGATTTTTGTCCGACATATATGATATCGTTAATGTAATACAAAAAACAGTCGATTGGCATTAAAACTACACGTACATGTATCAACTTCCTTAGGGACGCCACAGCGACATGTTGGGGGTGTCGGACCTTCCCCAAAGCCACATGGTTTTTGTCCGACAAATGTGATATCGTTAATGTAAAGTAAAAAACAGTCGATTGGCATTGAAACTACACGTACATGTATCAACTTCCTTAGGGACGTCAGAACGACAACTTCACGAAGAGCTAGCGCAGCAATGTCCCATCGCCCAGGGTGGAGACATAAAAAATATTGTCCGACTTGGTGTTATGAAGCCGCTCCGGAAGTTGGGCGTGTACATGAGTTACAAAATTTTAAGGTCGATGTACTGGGGACTATTAGCGAAACATGTTAAAAGTTTAACAAAAAAAAAAAATTGTGGAAATATATAAGTATTAAAATTTACTTAAAAAATCTTTTATTAGATAATGGATTTCCACCAAGTAAAAGCCGATTCAATCAAAATGTTGTTTTATTATTTAATGCACGGAGACGATATTTTATTTTATTTGCGTGGAATTTGAACAGTTACTATCAAGAGTTTATAAGCGCTATAACAAAGTTATTTAAAATGGAAATCTATGGAGGTAAGTACCTACTTTACTTTTAAACTATTTTGGTTGCTGTGAAAGTAAAAGTTAACTTATAGCTCATGTAGAAAAAACATTGTAATAAATCAAGATAAAAAATATGATATTTCTAAGAATTGGAGCAAAACTTTTGTGGGACCCATTAAGACTCGGACCCAATCGGCCCATAGTGGTCTACAATAGTTGGTCTTTTAAAATATATATAATTTTTTTTGCGCATCTTGGCGCTTCTATTAATAAATAAATTTTTAGTTAGAACCTCCCTAATGTTAAGAATCCTGTTTAAAGTATATACAGTGAGGGGCAAGCTACTAGGTATATAGGATGTAACCTGACGAATTTGCAGGCGTCCGCATGTCAGAAAATGACAAATCGATTTAGCGCTAACCTGGCGACAACCAAGTAAAAAAGTTTCTAGGGTTGTTAATAATTTTCAAAAATACGGTTGTGTTTCTCCCTGAAACCAAACGAAATGACGTCCCGGAAAATAATGAGGATCAAGAAGCCAAATAAATTATGTTGTTGGTTGTTGGCATTAGTTAACAAAACTTCAACTATTTCGACTCGTGCGCTTGCGCAGGATATTGACTCAAGTACAAGGACGGTTAGGAGCCACAGAAAAAAAAAAGTATCGTTCGTACAAAGTAAGAAACTCCCAAAAAATTGATCTTGAGGACAACATCAGGCGAATGGATTTTTGTGAAACTGTCATTAATAAGGCAAATGAAAATCAAGATTTTCTTAGAAAAATTGTCTTTACAGATGAGTCGACATTTCAACTCCATGGTCGACATAATCCTAGTCACACCCGTTATTGGTCTAAGGAGAATTTACACAGGTATTTTGAGCTTAGAGCCCAGCGTCGTCAAAAGGTAACTGTCGGCGGTTTGTGTGGATAACATATTATTGGGCCGTACTTCATGGACGCTAACTTAACTGGTCCAAAATATTTTGATCTTTTGCAACGGGCCACCGGCAGATAATTCCAGAAATTGAAAGATTATCTGGTCCTATAGATTTAATGAAATATGGTATCAATAAGATGGATGTCCAGCCCATAATACGGGTTTCATTCTGGACCATTTCCGAACTGTCTCATTGCTGGGTCGAGAGCTACAATACTGTGACGCTCTCCCGATCTTGCACCCAACGATTATTTTCTCTGGGGTTATTGCAAATCAAAAATGTATGGTTTTCAGGAGAATCGCGCCGTGAACCTTGAGCAGCTGCGTTTCAAAATTCGAGAAATATATCTAACTGTCACCCCTGTGATGCTAAATAATATTCGTAGAGCCTTCTATGATCGTTTAGGTCATTGTTTAGTTCAAGAAGGTGGACTGGGACTGTTTGAACATTTGCTACATTGTAGTGCAAATGGTAATCGAGCCAGGTTTTTGGGGTCAAAACTAGAATTTTTGTTTTTATTTTACCTAATTTTTTTTCTATTTTTTATGTTGAATATATTTTTAGTTTTTCCTGGATGGCTTTTTTAAAATACATGTTTTTTTTCCATAGATTATTGTTTCGGTTCCAAAAAAAATCTATCTATACACGCCGTTTAATAATTATAAGTAAGTGAAGCTCGACGATACATCTAAAAGCACGGTCTAGATGCTACGTTTTGCATCAAGTTTTGTCTGCACAGTTCAACACGTGATCAGGTATCAGTAACGTAACGTCTGGACCGGGCTTAAGTCTGTAAAATCATAAAACGTACTGATGTGAACCATGGTTTATGAACGTCAAAGTCATCGAAAAAACGACAGCGGACCGACAGCGACAGGTGTTCAGACGGCTGCGGACGATCGTAAATTCGTCAAGTTGGATCCTATATACCTAGTAGCCTGCCCCTTACTGTATAGACTAAATCACGATAGAAAGTGAAGTTGACAGTTCGCGTTGACATTTTTAGTAAACTTTTTCTTTAGGTTGTCAGCATGCATTAGCGCTCCGACTCGGTCAGCTGGGATAAGCGACAGGGTCGTATTTAGAAAAGTGATATACATTTCAGAATAAAAATTTATTTTCAATTTATTTAAAGGAAGTTAAGTTATTAAAGTCCAAAAATCCTAAAATTAGAGTCGAAAGTAAACACTTATAATAAGAGTAAACACTTAAATCCAAACTAAACCAGGTTTGAAACGCAACACCGAAACACAAAGGCACAGAACACTACATAAAAAAGCAAAAAACCGATTGCGATAATAACAAATAAAAAATAATGCAGTAAACGGCAAAAAACTGAAAGATTTCACACAAAAATTCTAAATTCAAAGACCCGAATCTGATATTTTTATGTGTCAAATCAAAATGTCATGTATCATTATTAGATAGTTGTCAGAAAAAGGGACAGATCTGGGGATTTTATTTATTTTCAACTGGTGAAAATAACGGTCAAAATTCAAACTCTATCGTGAATACGACTATATCTTGAACATAAAAAGATAGATCAACTGAAAGTATTTTTATCAGAAATAGATTTTTTTTTTTTTTTTCAAGCAGAAATAGATATTTATTAATACAGCTAAGACTTTTGGAATTCTAGATTGGCAATTTCTATCACTGTGCGTCGTCGCCAACAAGCAGGTACATCGCGCGCTCTGGATATTCATAACTTTAATCAAGGATAACTAGAAAACTATTTGTTCCAGATGGTTGATTTTTGTTTTAAAAACTTTTTTGATACTTTGTCGTCATATCATACGCAGATACTATGACAAAATTCGTTCAAATAAAAAAGTTTCTCGCTTACCGAAAAACATGCTGCACTTAAAGTACAATTTGAAGTTCAATCTAGTTTCCAAAAAAAAAATTGAGTCACTATGGGATTTAAACTAGCACAGTTATCACCGCTCATATGTCCTCTACTGATTGAAAAAAAAATTATGTTGATAGGTTTATTAGTTCCGGAGTTATCGCGTGGTGGGTTTAAAAAAACACGAAAATAACATTTTGACATATTTGTCACATTTTTTGAGATAAAAAATGTCTGCCCCCGCGAAAAAAGTCGTAATTAGCCATTTTAGATGCACAAGAGCATAACCGATCATCCTGTATAGGTTTCATGTGGTTAGACCTTCAAAAAAAAATTTGAAACATTTTTATATCGTTTTTACTCCACTACCTGCAAACTGAACAATTTCTAATACACGGGACTCGTAAATCAGGCTGTATACAAGAAGAAACGGCTTTCGGGCTTCAAATTCATAAAATATAGTGATACAAAAAATATACAAAACAGAACTTTTTATTTACTTTTCACACTTTTCCAAACTTTCCCGCTCTCCGTTGTTTATATTTTTTTCTTCTAACAGCTCGACAAAACCATATCGCCGAGGCATTTAGGTTATTCTTCTAATGTTAATGTCATTTTTATTGCCGCTTGAATTTGGAAATGGTGTAGTTCTACATCTTTCTTGAATATGCTCGGAGCAGTTAATTTGAATATCACCTCGAGAAGGAGGTTTTTCGCCAGTCCTCTTGAACTAAGGAAGGGCTGTGCTGTAACAACTGCACAAAACGGCTTCAAAAATATTGTTTTTATTCAAAAATTATAAATATATCTCGGTTTTCAACAACAAAATTATATACAGAATTGCAGAAATTAATTAAATTCATTTATGTTTGGATAAAGATGTTCTTTGAGTTGACCTTCTGGACTTACTTCTTTCCGTTTTCTTTTTTCTTATTACTTTCAACAAATTAAACACTACTTCTGGACTAATTCCCATGTTCAAAAGCTGCACCAAATCCCTAAAAAAATTGAACATTTCGTGAATCAAAACAATGGACCCAAGCTTGGCAGTTTTTTCAATTATTTCACAATAGTTAAAAAGGTAGTTTCTTGAGATTCCTACAAAAATTAAAGTTTTGATGAGTTTCTTACCTGGATAGTTCTTTATCCATGTAAATACCAGCTAGGTCAGCCAATTGTTGAAAATCGTCTTGACCAGGTCTTAACTCGTTCATGGTTTCGAAGCTTTTATTTGTTGCGGAAGGCATTAAAAAGGTTGTTAGAAAAACCAGTTTTGAAATATTTTAATTTATACTATGGATTTTACTTACACAACAACGTACGTACAAACAAAAACAAACCGTTGACAGATTGATGACAGTATGAGGTATGAAGGCGATTTCAAATCATAAGCTCTTTTCACGTGGCTCCGGTTTAACAAACCGCAACATGCCGCTCAAAATTCGAGTGGTATCGAAGATGACACTTTGTAACCGGGTTAGAAAACGGTATGTCCAGCGATTAGAAGAAAAAAATATAAACAACAAAGAGCGTGACAGTTCGGAAAAGTGTAAAAACGCATAAGATGTTAATAGGATGTCTGGTATAGTATTTTTCTATTTTTAATCCGAATTGAAACACTAAAGAAACATCTAGTCGGCATACATCAAACAAATAATGGACATGGGCGTCACATAATTTTTATAATAGTGATAATCAATATCAAGCAACACAACTAAATAATACGTGAAATAAAACCAAGGATGATACACACTACTACTACAGGATGGCCTATTGGCCTATCCTCATAAGGCCTGTGTGGAACAAATACCCCCTTTCCTCCCGTGTCCAAATCACCATTTGTGACGTAGGCAGCATGTTATTTTTCGCCTTGACGTAGGCTGTTTAAGCAGCTGACGACTTCTTAGTTATGACGTCGGAAATGGTGACACACCAATATGGCGGCAATTACTTAAAAACGAGGCCGATAGGCGATAAGCAATTCTGTAGGTGTGTATCATCCTTGGAAGAAAACAGCAAATAATGGATAAATTGGGATGACATGACACTAGTTGTATTCCTTTCACACCTAAACTCTGTTTTTTTTTTTAAGATGTTAATTTAATTTAATTCCTCAAGACAAAAATTTAGTAACTATGTTGGCAACAAAGCCTTTTCTACATAAAAAATTTGAAGCATTGACAATTGACGTGTCTCGTAATACCTGGGCTGCGTTCAGGAATGGCTACAGCCAAGCCAAAATTGGCATTTTGCGTTCGAGTTTGGCTCCGACCTACGTGGTTCGGCATTACCGGTGGAGGGGGAAAAGTAAGTTTTGGCATAAGCATTGCCGTCTTTGAACACACCCCTGGTGTGCGCGCGCAACTCGTGGGTACAGTGGCTAAATAAACCTTTACATACAGTGGCGACAATAGAGGTCCCGCCGCCATTTTGTTCCCAACCTCTCGTTACTTTTAAATATTAATATATAGGATTTAAATGGACATCTATCATAAAAAATTTAAATCGACGTATTTAATGGCTATTATTAGGTCCATCAAATACGTTGTTTCCCATGTAGTACGGGATACGAGGCATATTTCATCAAATCATTTTACACCGTCTTGCATTGTTATCATCAGTTAGATAACATGATGCTGAAACGCACTTGCGCAGTGAACTATATGGGACTGGGGAATTTAGCTGATAAAAATGTTCGAGAAAATGTCGTCATAATCGAGGAAAATATACAATTTCACACCGTCTTGCATTTACTTATTAAGTTAATTTGTACACAAACAAAATTGGAATAACCTATGCAAGACATATTGTAACGTAGGTTACTAGATTTTTACTAATTTATCCGCGTTTCCGTTAATTAAATTAATTTGCTACTGATATTTTGTGGCTACGCGTGACCTCGGTTGCAAAGCACTCTCCAGTACAAACCGACGTGCGCGACGCGCTTCAAAAACTCAATTCCCCACCGCTGATATCTGCGCTGCCGATCGACGACGACATGACGCGGTGCCTCCCGCTTATAAATATAGCAGCACGCACTGCGTTTGGTCACTTCTCTCCGAGCTCCGAAACCGACCAGACCTACCAGACCGCTCCGACCTGCCGCAGCCGACCGATAAGGTAAAACCACCGCCGCCGCCGCCAGTACCGCCGCCGTCAGCAGCGCCGCGACGCCAGATGTTAGCCGACCGTTTAATGTAAGTACGGGTAAGAATGCAGGTATTTCTTCTTTCTCTCTTCTGTACACGGGTTGATCGGAGCTGCTGGCTGGAATACGGACAGGGCAGCTCTGCTCCTTCCGTGACAGAATAAAGGACGCTACGGGCTGGTGACAGGGTAGCGCTCTTCATTCTACACATTTCTTCTTTCTCTCTTCTGTACACGGGTTGATCGGAGCTGCTGGCTGGAATACGGACAGGGCAGCTCTGTTCCTTCCGTGACAGAATAAAGGACGCTACGGGCTGGTGACAGGGTAGCGCTCTTTATTCTACACATTTCTTCTTTCTCTCTTCTGTACACGGGTTGACCGGAGTTGCTGGCTGGAATACAGACAGGGCAGCTCTGCTCCTTCCGTGACAGAATAAAGGACGCTACGGGCTGGTGACAGGGTGGCGCACTTTATTCTACACAGTCCTTCTTTCTCTTTTCTGTGCACGGAGTGACCGGAACTGCGGGCTGGAACACATAAACAGGGCAGCTCTGTTCATTCCGTGGCAGAATAATGCACGCTACGGGCTGGTATCAGGGTGGCGCGCTTTATTCTACACAGTTCTTCTTTCTCTCTTCTGTGCACGGAGTGACCGGAACTGCGGGCTGGAACACATAAACAGGGCAGCTCCGTTCGTTCCGTGACAGAGTAAATAGGGCTACGGGCTGTGATACGACCAGGGTAGTGCTCTTTACTCTTCACACCTATTCTCTCTGACCTGCATTCTGCTCGGAGTAAGAAATTCGCGCACGAGGCCCAAAGGCCTAATCCTGCAAGCTGACGGTGTAGATACTGGACCGATCCTGGTTCCTGGAGCTTTCTTTTGCCGATTAACCGTTACCGTAACCGTCACCGTACCATAATCTCGAACCGTTAAATTCACGCGACTAATCCGACACGCACACGCACTTCGTTCGCTCCCCCTCACTCTCCGCTTAGCATTTCCTTTTATAAAACCTGTATCTTAATTAAGTTTTCTTGCATTTCCTTTTTGTATTATAAATTATTGGGTAGTCAATAAAAACTACTTTCTTGGTTGGATTGTGTGTTTCATTTTTGGGAAATGCGTAGGGACACCTGGTTTTCCGTCTCCACTGTTTAAAAGCTACCTAGAGCACGTGGGCCCTTAACCACATTAATCCTAAGGGTGGCGCCCGAGTTTTCCGAAAATTCCGAAATCAACCGCTTTCCTCCTGGAAAACCAAAGTAGCGCTATAAATTTGGCGCCCGAGCAGGGACTGTTCTGCGCACGTCCATGATTTCAGCACATGACCGAGTGGATTACGTCATCACCAGTCCCCATTTCTACCGAGAGGCCGTTTGTTTTGGCGACACCCGTAGGTCTGACCGTTACCGTACCGTTTTTTATGTGATTGCTAGACCGCATAGCGCCGGAGCAAATAAAGCGCTCCTTTTGGGACAGTTCCGCGCGTGCCTTATCATCCGCCCCAGGACCTGAGAGTCTTACCCAATGCCGTCCGACCGTGGAAAAAAAGTTCCTGTAAACCGTACCGTATTGGACCGAAGTCCTCCGTTTTGGGAAGTATTGTGCACGCATGCGCGGGCCAAAATCTGAGCATCCGCTCCTTTACACGTAATCCACGGTAGCTGATTTCAATTTCCCCATCTGTAAATAGTCTCCCTAAGGTAGTGAGAAACAATCCAACCGTCCGCCGCCAGTTTCACGAAGCCGCACTCTCCGAAAACCGATCAATCTATACCGAACCCCTTTTCCGCCCGAACGAAGTTGCGCTATCCGAGAACCGATCCACCTAGACCGAACCCCTTTTCTGCCCGATTCATTTTGCGCATGCGCAAACCGAGTTACACATCTTTTCCGACTAATTCGAGGTTGCCGAGTCTAATTCCCTGGAGGGAATAACTGTATCTTGCAGAGGTTGCCACATCTCTCAAAACTCCGAGGTTTTCCGTAAAAATCCCCACCAACTTTTGGTGGCCGAACCTCTCCCTACTACCGCAAGGGAGTATATGGCAAGACGATTAAGCGAGATTCAGAGACTCACCGTCCGACCATCAACCTGATCGCTTGATCACTTGAGCACTTCAGACACTCACCGTCCGACCATCAACCTGATCGCTTGATCACTTGAGCACTTCAGACACTCACCGTCCGACCATCAACCTGATCGCTTGATCACTTGAGCACTTCAGACACTCACCGTCCGACCATCAACCTGATCGCTTGATCACTTGAGCACTTCAGACACTTACCGTCCGACCGTCATCCTTAGCAGTTGGTCACTCTAGACTCAATCGTCCACCGAAATATTTTCAAACACTTACCGCCCGACCGTCGAGGTGATCACTTGGCCACTCTAGACTCAATCGTTCACCGAAATATTTTCCAAACACTTACCGTCCGACCGTCAACCTGATCACTTGGTCAGTCTTGAGCCACCGTCCACCTGAATATTTTTATTTTTTTTATTTTTTTTCTTCCGACCGCCGCCGAAAACATTCCGAATCTTAACCGTACCGTACCGCCGAGTGTAACCGTAACCGTAAGCCTGCTAACGAACCTGCTGTTAACTAGCCGCTGAAGGCCGTTGTCATTTGAGCCCTTAGTCTATCTTCCGCTACCGTTTACCGACCAAATTACGATGCCAGGAGGCACCGGCAACAATGGCAACCCACCAGTTACTAGTACACCGAATACCGCCGCCTCTACCGTAGTGACAACCAGTCCAGTGAATCCGCCCGTTAGTGTATCCATAACCACTTACCCCGCTTGGTACGATCCCAACGATGGCCGGGTTGGTTTTGTCTACCTATTAAAGAAGGATGAACTGACTGCGGAACTAAATAAATTCGGACTAGATACTACGGGTACCGTTGACACGTTGAAGAAGCGACTGGTAACATTTTATCGCCAGGGAAAGGCTTCACCAGCACCGACTACTATGACAGGGTTCATCTTCCCGACATTTGCCAGTATGCATCCAACGCAGGCAAGTGGTACCGCTGTCCAGGCTCAAACCAGTACCGCAAATATTGGAAAGCCGGTTACAACTCAAATACCTAATCCGCCGCTACCGACTATTACCGTTCACCGACCGCTGTCTTCTCCAGTCACATCCGGATCTCCGATAATACCACTGAAGGTGCAGAAATGGAATGTCAATTTCAATGGTCGAACCGACCCAGTGACATTCATCGAAAGGCTCCAGGAAATTTGTGCCTCCCAAGGGATTGCCATAGACCGTTTATTACCACACATGCCCGAAATTTTACAAGGGGATGCATCCCTATGGTACC